GCGGGGCCAGGACCCGCGCCCCCGGCTTGGAGACCTGCCTGGTCTGTGAAGAGTCGGCCGAGCCGGGCGTGGCCTGCGAGCCCCGGCCACCTGCCGCCTGTGCGGGGCGTGCGGTTCGCGGTCTCGGTTTGGATTCTATTTATTGCGTCGCTGGGGAGCCGCCAGGGCCGTCCTGGGGCAGCCAGGCGAGCCGCCGGCCGTGATGCAGCGAGCAGCGGGCGCCGGGCACCCACTCTGTTCTCTGTTAACTTTTTTCAAGAAACATGATTCACGTTGCTGCTCAGATTTTGAAATTTACTATAACTGTCAGTTCAAAAAACCTTGTCTGGACGTGTTTCATTCTTACATCAACTCCGTCAAAATGTTGCTCTCTCTGGGGTGTTCAGGGACTAAACCCCTGAGCTGCGTGGCCTCTGGGTTTTGTCCCCATGAGTCCTGGGGGGAACCCCTCTGCTCCCGGGGCCCCCCCAACACGATTCCCCCTGCAGCAGGCCCCACGCCCCTGCAGGCAGCACAGGCAACCAGCAGGAGCCCAGCAAACGCCGGGTTAGGTGCGTTTGAAGGAGCCACCGGCAGCCGTGGTGGGGACTTGCACCTCTTGCCAGAATTCCTGTTCCTGGGGGAAACTATGGGTCTGCTCCCCGGAGCATCAGTGTTTGGAGGTGTCCTGCCCACCTTGTCTTTATTTGAAGTCAGCTGATTGTGGGTGTGAACCACGTGGCAAAATACTTCCACAGCAACACCTAGTGTTTGCATAACCCTGGGGAGTTGAACAAAGGCTGGGAGGGAGGTTGAGGGGCAGGGAGGTCCCCTGGGAACCAAGAGGTGAGGTGGGCGCCCTGGAGTGGGGTTTCTGGGCTGGCTAGAGGTGAGCTGCACAGTGGGTTAGACCCTGGGAGGAATGCAAGGATCAGAACGAGATGGGGGCGGGGAGCAGGCCCACCTCGACTTCTAGAAGGAGGTGTGGGACCCAGACAGGCAAGGGGCTTACATGTTCCCAGAATTACTGTCTAGACCAACAGTTCCACGCCTGGTATGTGCCCCCCAAAAAACGGGAAACTGGCTCAGCCCCTTAGCTGAGACCAATGTTCACAGCTGCGTGGCTCTTACGACAGCCAGAAGGTGGGAGCAGCCCAGGTGTCCCCAGGTGGGTGGATAAGCGATGGGCTATGGCTCCACCAAAAACAGGAAGTTCTGATACCTGCTGCAACATGAATCCAGTAGTGGAAGAATTTCTCAGGAGTTAGTATCTTAATATCAAAGATTTCAGAGCCAAAGTACATTAGGGACAGTCGTTTCACAGTGAGTCCAAAGGAGGTAACAGTCCTAAATTTTTGTGTCCCCCAAACAGCTGCAAATTACGGGAAGCAAAAGTTATAAGACCTGGCGAGTCTATAATTAAGGGTGGAGATGCCCAACCCTGCCCCCCACAATCGGAAGGAGACAGATGAGTGAAGCTGTGGGAACTGGGGCTGCGCCAACCAGTTTTCCCTGACATCCGATCTCCACCCAGCAGCGGGGACACTCCACATTCATGAGGACGTTTATCAGGATCACCCACAATCTGGGTCATAAAACCAGTCACTAAATTCCAAAGAATTCACTTTATAAAATATTTTCTTTGACCACAGCTGCATAAAATGAGGATCAATAGCAGAAAGGTCTTGAGTAGCCTCAAATACTTAGAAACCAAATGACACACTTCAAATAACTCAGGTTATAGGAGAAATCAGCAGGACAATTAGGGTTTTGAACAAAATGAAAGTTAAAAATTTGTGGGATTCGGCCAACACAGTGCTTTGGGGAAATCTAGCACGAAAGGCCAGTGTCAAGAAAGAAATTTCTCAAATTAATGACTTCAAATTTTACCTTAAGGAGCTAAAACAAAAAGAGCAAATGAGACCCAAAGTAAGCAGGAGAAGATGAAACGAAAAGTCAATTAATTAAGGAAATAAAAAATGAATGAAACCAGAACTAGTTCTTTGAGAAGACCAATAACTCGTAAACCTTGAGTCAATAGAGCTGGGGGGAGAAAGACACAAATTACCAATATCAGGAGTGACCGGTGGCATCGCCAGGATAATGCACATATGGGACTATCAGGAGGAACTTCGTGCCAAACGACGTCAGTGAGCGAATCCCACGCGAGATGGAGGAGCCGACCCGAAAAACCGGCAGCTACGGAAGAAAACCAACTTGTCAAAAACGAAAATTCCAGACCTGATTCCGCCAAATATTTAAGAAAAATATATTGTGCATTATACACAAACTTTTCCAAAATTTTGGGGAGGGAACTGGTCTCCGTCAGTTCAAAAGAATTCAACTTGTGTAAAATATTCGGGGGGTGTCTTAGTCGGCTCAGGCCGCAGTAACAGAACACCACAGACTAAGCGGCTCAGACAACAGGAATTCATTTCCCTGACCGGGAATTGAACCCCAATCGCCTGGATCCTAGGTCGAGGCTCAGCCACACCTGGCCGGGCCCACACCAGGCCATTCTAACCATCTTCAGACCTGGGCTCACGGGAGGAAATGAAAGGAGCCCCATAGAAAATTCCGCAGACTCCCACGTGGTTTGTTTCTCAACTTAAAAAAAAAAAAAGTATTTCTCAACTGTCCTATGCCTTTGGTCAACTCCCGGTCCTGGAATGGCTGCTTATAACAATTTGTCCAATTTTATCTTTGCCCTCTTGGGAGGACGATGTTGGTCAGCTCCTCCATCCGCTCCTCTGGAAATCCCGCCCCCACACAGACTCAGACTTTCTAGTGGGCCCATTGGAAAAGGTAAAAAGGAACAGAGGAAGTTAACTTCACTAATGCAAACACCGAATTCTTGAAGCCTGTGACACTGGTTACAGAAGAGACACTGAGAACTGACCCCCAGGACTGGGCGCCCGGAGCTCCACGGGCCCTGCTGACCAGCCTGCCCTGTGGGGTGCCCAGGAGCCGCAGGGTGACCAGTGGTCCCCGAGTCAGCCAGGAGGGCTTGGCACCATTTCTGAGTTCCAGCATCTCAGGTGTCCACCTGCGGGGCCGCCTCCGGGAAGGTGGGCAAATGCTGCTGCCAACGTGATCCTCGGTCACCTGTCACTCGAGCCTGGGGCCCTGGGCAGAACGTTCAGTGACCCAGGACAGGGCCGTGGTGCAGGGCTGGGTTGGCCTTAGCTTTTTTTTTTTTTTTTAATATATGTTTTTATTGATTTCAGAGAGAGGAAGGGAGAGGGAGAGAAACATTGACCAGCTGCCTCCTGCACACCCCCTATTGGAAATCGAGCCTGCAATCCGGGCATGTGCCCTGACTGGGAACTGAGCCGTGACCTGGATCCCAGGGTGCTGCTCAACTGCTGAGCCACGCCGTCCAGGGTCGGCCTCAGCTTTTTAGGGGTGCAGAGGTGGGGAGGCCAGGACTGTGCACAGAAGGCGATGGGGAGACTAAGGCAGGAAAGAACTGTTGGGAATATGTTTCGACTGTGTGGCAAATAAAGACACAAGGAATCCAAAGTACCTCGGCAGAGAAAACGTTACTTCTGCAGAAGGGTGCGGAGCTGCCCAAATCAGGGGAGCCAGCACAGCAGGCGGGGCGTTCGGCTTTTACCCCTAGGGCGAGTGCCACTGCGCCATGCCCTACTGGTTAGGGTGCGGCCTCACAATCCAAACCATTGGCTAATTTAGAAAATGAGCACGGGGTGGACCCTTGGGTTGGGGCGTGGGGCACCCTTGTACTGAGTACAGAATGGGGGAGACCACGGTACCACGGAGGACACGCCCATGGACATCTACTCAGTTTGGCCGATTCTAATCCCTTTGACAGAAAAGATAATTTCCT